TAATCAGATTGTAAAGTTGAATTTTGTCTTTCTTCTGACTCTTATTATAATTATATTTGTGGATATATGTAAATAAATCTTTGTAGTTAAAAGCTGTCGCTCTAAAATCGATGGTATTCAATTGATGTCTTATCCTACAACACAGAAGAATGTAGGATGATTGAGTGAACTATTTCTCTTAGTAAAAAAGTTGAAAGACAAGCAAATTATCTGATTATTTACAAGTATGTATATCTCAATGGTTATATATAATCAATTGTTTTTATTTATTATCACATTAGTCAAATTTTTTGTTTGATGAATTAACCTATTTTAGTATGATGAAAATGATTGTTTTTTTTGCATAATATGACAATCCTAATGATTTGCATCAATAAATAAAATAAATTTTCTCAACAATGAACTATGACATCGACTAGCATGAATAGAACTTTCATTAGCATTTGTAAAAGTTTTAAAATCTTTATATTAAATAACAACGACCGATTATTATCAAGATGATTAATAAATTTTTTACTTGACATTTTATCAAAAAAAACAAAACATCTAGGTTTCTCTATTAAGAAGATCAATAGATGGACTTATGAGGGAACTATCCCAACTGACATCTGAGCTCATATTAAATCCACAGGTAGGTCTTAGTGAGATTAACAAAAACCTAAAAGAGTTCGTCACAGGGAAGAAAAAACGAGACTTCAGTACTTCATTTGTACTTTGAAGTACTGACAGTTTCAGCCAAAAAGAATTTTCAAGTGAACTCGGATTTTGTAACATGCCTATAGCAAAGGGCTACTTCTATCTAAAGACAAAATTTTAGATCGAAACTCTGTGATTTGATTTTTCGAGAGGTACCTAAAACTGGTTGAAAACCAAGTAAAATGTTCATATCTCTGCACCACAGGTCCATGGAGACAGATCCTCTTTTAAGCTTTCGCTAGTCTCAGTGAGATCTCTTTGTGGATTCAATATGAATTCAAATGGCGGGTATTGATTGGGGTAGTTTCTTCGTTAACATAAATAAAAGACTTCAGCATACGGTATGAAAATTTATACTCTTGCAGTATGTAAGCTGGTGGAAATAGCTAATGAAGTTTTTTATCCATATACTAGATGAACTATGATTAAGGAGAGGTCATCGAAAATGCGGTCACTCCTCATTTTGAGCTCTTTAATATGGCATTGTTACAAATAGCTTTTGCGACCTAAAAACTAGTGTCCAGTTTTTTAGATATCTACCCATCGTAGTTCATCTAGTATAGAATGTGTTAGATAGAAAACTCCATTGGCTGTTAAAATCACTATTTGTCTTTGAGTTCGGTGCTTAACATTATAGAAAGAAAAAACAAAAATACCTTATTGTTAAACTTTATTTTTGCAGCGACTGTTTATAAATAAGTAAGGTGCACATAATGCAAAATTCGAGCAAATTTTATTTTCATTTCATTTATATACCATTCGATAGAGCATGAAAAGTTGGTTATAAATATGTTATTTTTAAATCGATTGGATTACATTTTAGCAATAAAAAACCAAGAGACTTTGGGGCGGTGACAAAACAGTTAAAACCAGCTCAAAATGTTTTTTTATGAGAAACTTTCAAGTTTTTGGTTAGTTATATTTCAACAATTTTTTTAAAGGATTATTTTCTAGTTCGGCATTGAAAACTGAGTTTAAAATGTTATTTGATTGGGTTTGAAGTGGAAGTGCCGTCCACATGAGCCTGACGAATAAGACCACCCGAACACATTTTTGTAGTATCCATAGACAATTTTGTAAAGCTTTCTAGTTTTTTGTTCAAAGTGATAAAACCAAGTGTTCTATCTCATTAGAACCGCTAGACATTGGCCTTCAAATGTATCCATTTCATTTTTCTTGATTTTACTTCATTGTTGATAAAATCACATTCTTTGGGTATTTTTCGTCTCCTGCGGCAAAAC